CGGTTCCTCCGTGCTGGGTAGAACGATCAGGTCCGACCAGGTCCGCTTTCAGACGCGGTGGCCAGTGGATCCGTTCATGGAGGATCCATATATATATCGCCAGGCCACCACCCGGAGACGACCAGTTCGGGCGTTCGCCGGGGGGGGGGGTGGAGCAACCGGATCCGAGGAGCTCATCCGAGTCCTCTCAGAGAAGGAGCAGGAGAAGTGGTGGAGCTAAACAGTGGATCAAAAGCAAAAGCCAAGTGCGAAATGCATATCTCAAAGCACGGATCTCATGCGAATCAGAACATGACAACCATTGGTTGAGCCGTCGGTAAAATACTCAGCAATCTTCCATGAAATCCGAAGATTTCCGCGGAGATTCTTGCTCTTATCTAGCAGTCTGACGTTCCTCCACCGAGCCTCAGAACCGCGGTTCCGTTCGGTTTCCGTTCGGAACAAGCATGGGACCTTTGGAAGAATTGGTGTGTTTTGCTTTAGATGGTGAAGCAATATCCCCCACTACGGAGCGTTTGTTTGGGCTAGGGCCGCTAGGGTTCCAACCACCATGAGCTCAATATGACTGACTGAACAACCATTGTTTTTTTGTGTAATGAGGATTTGAACTACAAAACCAGCTTAACAATTTGTTGTATGGTCTTTGAAGGCACGTATATATTTGTATATAATATAGGCATACACTTGATATGCTATGCATGTCTATATACATGTTCATCATTGATATACCTATACCCATATATGGAGATGTAAGCACCTCTTCACATTGGGGGTTGTTAATCAACAGTCTATACATGATACTTAGATACGCCAACAACACCGGGCTACCAGACTGTCATATTGCTTTGCCATGCTTTGCTCAAGTTCTTTTTCTCCAAAACATCGAGGAAACACACGTGAATATCGGTATTGACCGCAGCTTCACAGCCAGGAGAAAGTGAAGGCTGAGCGTTTGGCCGCTGCCCAGGTCAAAGCCATGCGTCTCCAGGCGCGAGCGCGGTCGTGCGGTCCGTCCGTTTGGGTGTGGCAGACCGGAGGTCGCCAGCTTTTCGGGTCGCAGAGAGCTGAAACGAAGGCTGCGACTGAGGCGCTTGAGGCGCGTGGACATCGTGCGGCTTTAGCGACATCAGAACATCTGGGATTTAGAAGGGTTTGACTGTATGTGTCTTGCTTGAAATGGCTCATTGCATCTAATTGCTAATGAATTTTGATTATTATGTGATGTCGCACCTGACCTGGCACGGGAAATCCGGGGGAATCCTTCCATCCTGTTTTGCTTCCTGCTTCCATCCAAAAATGTCTTCCATTTTTTTACAGGTGACATCTCTTTGAAGCGGCCAGCCGATTTCCTCCACAAAGCTCCGGCGCCCCTTGTTCATTCTCCGGACCGGGCAGCTCCGGCGACAGCTCCGACCTCGTACGCGTCCGGTGCTCCACCCGAGTCACCAGGGAGTCACAGAAGGGTGCGCGTCACCCACCGGGCGAGGTCGATGACGCGGCAGCCGAATCCATGGAACTGCAGCGGGTTTCTCGACCTCAGGGAGTACCGGGCAGGTGAGTTTCTCGACCGGCCGAAGGCTTCCCTGCGAGTGAGAGCGTCTGGATGCGAACTTCAGCATTTCTTTTGGGTGGTGAACGAGTTTGAGCATCGAGTTTGTTGGTGAACGAACGGCGATGGATATTCCTTCGTGCTGCCTCGGATGGCATGCCTTTCAAAGGTGTGGATTTTTGATGTTCGGAAAAGGGCTCCCATTCGAGAAAAAGACCTGACATCCAAGAAAGCTTTCCGCTGGTGTTTTTTTGGTGAGTTTGGTTTTAAGACAGGAAGTGAAGGGCAGTGGACCATCAAAAGTCTTAGTACATGAGGGGTTGGAGTGATTTCCTGCCACAAAAGTTAAAGGGTCATTTCATCTTTGGGAAGTCCCGCGCTTTGTGCCATCATTGCAGCCTGCAACCAAGTTTTGACTGGCCACCGGCGTGGCCTGGTCGCCATCCGCGGTTCGCGCATTTCACGTCCAGCTGACTGGCTCTAAGCCATCCCTACCCCCTAAAGCTACTGCCGGGAGGGGGGACCTCAAAACAGTAAGTTACATTTTAGGGTACCCCCCTAGGGGGTCAAAAAATGTAAGTTATCCCCCCCAGGCAGCGGAGGGGGCAAAAACATGTAACAACTTTGCCTTACATTTTACCACCCCCCCCCAAAGGGTCGGCAGATAGAAGGGGGGGTCTGGAAAATGTAACTTGCGACCTAGGAGGCCTGAACTTACATTTTTTACCCCCCCCCCTAGGGTGAGTTGGCAGATCGAAGGGATGTGTGGGGGATATGTGGGACTGTGGCAAGTATGAGATCTGCAAGTCAACTTTTGGAATCACTTTCTCGGAGACACCAAAGAGATGCAAAACCTCTTTCATGGCACGGCCACATCCCAAAGTGAATGCCAACTCACATGCAAGCTCATTTCCAAAGAACTGCGATGAATTTGGTCTCTTCTCGCATGACCGGTATAGCCTCCAAAAATGCAGGACCAGGACACAGGCAAAAGGTGAGATGTGCAGACTGACTAGTGCAGACGTCAAAAATTGTAACTTACAATTAGTCCACGCATCCAAACCATCAGATTACAGGGAATACATGGGTGATGTGAGAAAGTTTGACCTCACAAATTGTAACTTACATTTTTGCAACGTGCCCAACTCCTCAGAATTTACAAGGAACTGGGTGTCCCCCTGAGTTACTTACATTTTAGCATACTGAAAATCACACACGTCCGACGCCATGAAGCACAAGCAGGGGGCAAGAAACCAGGGGATCAAACAGCATTGAATATCCTTATTCTCATGCGCAATAGAACAGGCAGCCTCTCCTTTTTTTCATTGTGTATGGAATGTGATCCTCTGTTATGTTTGGGTTTCGCTTTGTTGCCTTTCTTTGCGGTCTTCAGTGGGAACATGTATGTTACTGTTTCTTGGCAGTTTGCTCTGGGTGTGTTTCCTGTTATTCTTTGTTGATGATGACTCACTTCAGTGGGAACATGTATTATGTCCCTGCTTCTTGACAGCATGCTCTGGGTGTGTTTCCTGTTCTGCTTTGTTGATGACGACTGCTGTTCCCTCATCTTCTCTTTCTAGCAAGGAACAAGCAGAAATGAGTGTGTCTGACAGCAAGATTCAGGGGGGGGGATGGGGGGTCCAAAAATGTAAGCGCGCCACCGTGCCTCAAAAATGTAACTTACATTTTGAGGTCATTCCCCGAGAAACCACCCATGAGGCTGCAAACATGTAAGTTACTTTTTTGAGGCCGTCAAAGTTAATGTAATTGCATTTATTGAGGCCCTCCGCATAGGAAAATGTAACCTACATTTTTCGACGTCCCCCCTTGTTTTTTTTGGTGAGTTTGGTTTTAAGACAGGAAGTGAAGGGCAGTGGACCATCAAAAGTCTTAGTACATGAGGGGTTGGAGTGATTTCCTGCCACAAAAGTTAAAGGGTCATTTCATCTTTGGGAAGTCCCGCGCTTTGTGCCATCATTGCAACCTGCACTGGCCACCGGCGTGGCCTGGTCGCCATCCGCGGTTCGCGCATTTCACGTCCAGCTGACTGGCTCTAAGCCTCAATCTGATCGTTCGCCCCTGTGTAGACAGACCCTTGATTAGTATGCCCCCCATTTGAATTTAATCAAGAATCTCAAGGCAAACTTCAACAACGTTGCGGATTTGCGATCGGCGTAAGAAATTCACACACGACGGGTTTCATTGCTGGGCAAATGGTTGCGACACGAGCCGAACGATTCACTTGAGGGACACACAACTGTTCAACATGGCCTGGTATATGCCTGAGCATGCAGCTTTGGAAGGCTGTCGCACAGCTCATGTATGCTCAGTCCGCTGTCGCTGCATGGGCTCCATCACTCTAGCGTGCTGCGTGGAGCCAAAACCTACGCTTGCATGCCTTCAGATCGGCTGAAGCCAGCGTTTTTGAGAGTGTTCTTCTGTTGGCGACGACGTTGCTCGCTGGCCTTACGACCATACCCCAACAGCATGCTCTAAAGGTGTGCGGGGGGGGGGAAAGCTGGGACTGAACAGGACACGGCGCATGGTATAGGGAGCAGGTGGACAAGAGAAGGCAACCTAGTAAAAGTCGACAGGGCAAAAAGACTTGGGGCTCAAACATAAAAACCTAGGCAGAAGTTGTTTTGCGTGTAGATGTTCCCACTTGGTGTTTACATTGCTCTGCAGGTTGGAAACCACCTGGATACATTTTCAATATTTTGCCGGTGTTCAGCTTCATTTTTCATGAAGCCGACCATGCTTACCGACCAACAAATGCCCCATGGAGTGTCAGGTCGGTCAAGTGTTGTTGCCTTGGTTTGGTTTCAAGATGTCTCAAGCAAATGCATTTCCTATATGCCCCAGTGAGGCCTTGGAGCAAGAAGCGAAAGATGCCAAGGCATGGCAGTTTGGCATTGGGGCATTTTTTTGCCAGTGGGCTTGAGCACTCAAAACCATGGATAGAGTGGGTTTCACAAGCTGTGGAGTTTTTCGCATGTTTGCACGCAGGCTCAATTCGACAAAGCCTTGAGGGAACAAGCCTTCAATTGTAAAGCTCGCTTGCACAAGGACTGTCCTTTTTGGGAAAAAGGTTCTGCAAACGCTTTGGGAAGGCTCCTTGTGTGGACAAACTTACTGGAGCTTGCCAAGGTCGTCAGTCGTCAGGCGTTTTATAAGCGTGTTTGAGAAAGTTCTGCGATGTTGCGAGGAGTTTTCTGAATTTGTGTTTGTTTGTTCGCCCTGAACCGGATATGGGCATTATATAGGCCTACCGTTTTTGGGGTGCAATTTTTAGTGTGGGGTGCTCAGAATCCACTTACCCCATTTTATAGTTCCCTTTTTTCATGTTCTTTTGGGCTTAGTTTTGCGCATTATAGGCAAGAAACCCTC